AACCCAGTCAAAATGGCCATCTACTCTATAGAATCCTATATCTACCCCGTTGTATTGACGTCTCTTGCTTATTTTGTGAGATAACCTCTAGTAGCAATATATTTACACATGCATTGTATCTCCTCTTGGGTAAATATTAATATATGTTTCCTTGATTGCTAATATGCATTTTTGATTTTGTTGGTTTTGGTTACCTTTTTGCGATATTTTATGCATTGATCTTTATTCCGATGTAGTGATAAAGAAAGATTATGTGATGCAAAATATGGCTATTTTCTGCAGATAGTTTTCAATTTATTTTCGGCGTCTGAACTTTCACTACCCCTGTAGATGGTGTTATATACGGGGTTAGTATCTACAACTATGCAGTAGTTGCTGCACCTAACATCCGCCAATAGGGGTATGGCACATGTCACGTCCCTATCTACTAACAGCCTCATAATTATCGACTTGCCAGCACCATTTCTGAAAAGTGAAAGACGTATAATTTTTTTCCCTTCTGGAAAATGAAAATCTCTAGAGATACATTCACAGAGTTGTTGTAGGGTGGAATCGAATGGAATTGAAACGTGCCCGATAATGAACCCTTGATAATTGTTGTACTCCTCCCAACTAAAACCGTGGCTAATAATGATCGCATAATGTTCCCGCATTGATTGATTCAATTCTTGAAAAAATGTAAAAATAAAATGGGTGGGGATTAATGATACCTTGTGTAAGAATATTAAAGAAACACTGTATTTAAGGTTGCTGATTACAGTGGAATGTTCAAACCAATTAGTTAGGTTTGTTTAAAAAAATTAAACACATTTTTAACTTGTTTGAATCATATATGTAGATTTGGTGGTTTAAATTTTGTGGAAAGATTTTAGGAATTATATAGATTTTGTAGTTAAAGGTGGTTTCAATATTAAGTATGATATAGGTAGATTTTGTGGAAAGATTTTAAGAATTATGTAGATTTTGTAGTTAAGGTGGTTTCAATATTAAGTCTATAACATTGCTAGTTAGGGACACATTTAAGGGAATGTGGGAGGCCTAAAACGTGGATGGGTAAAATGGAGAAAGATTGCAAGGGCAATATGGACATGAAATGTGTGGAGGGATAAATAAGAAATTATATACCTCCCCAAATTTTAGGAAACCAATTTTGGTCATGCCATACAATTTAGAAAAACTTTGGCCATTTTTCTTAACGATAACCTGTGTATAGCCATTTGTAAGGATTTCCCTTTTTGTTTTTTTGTTATTTTTTCCCTGGGCCTTTTGTTATGTTGGGCCTTAATTCAAGTTATAACATCCTCCTTTTTTTGAAAGGGATAGTTACACTAATAGACAATTGAGTAATCAAATTACATAAATGACTTGACTATTAAGATTTTACACTTCTGTCATAAAATTGGCCCAAATAGGATGGTATCCCTATGATTTTTTACCAAGTTGGCTTTGAATACATATTTAATAAACAATTAAAATAAAATTTCAAATCATGGAAAATTGATATTTTAGGGCAATAAAAATCAAATTTACTGGGGATTGAAATCCCTAAATCATCTCAAAATTGAAATCCCTTAATTATAGCACCTCATAACTTCCTTAAGGAAAAAACATAAAGGGATTTCAAATTCCCTTTGCCTTCTTCAACTTTTTTTCCAACATTTCATCCAATCGGTGGAAGTTTGTTGCGATTCTAGCGTTTTCCCGGCAACAATAAGGAACATTTTTTTGTGCTGAAAGTTTTGATCAAAGCAAACAGCTACCAAAGGATCACATGCAAAGGAGTTTCAGAGTCAATGGAGGGAGAAGATTTGAATCATGCCAAAAAATTCTAGATTTTTTGGGGATTTTTGCAATTGATTTTACTATAGATTTGAATCGCAAGGTTGCTGCACCATGTGTGTTGTCACCGCTGCAGAACCGATGTCATGGAGGGACGTCGCTAATGCAAGGGAGTCACACCGCCGTGGAGGGATGTCACCACCGCTACTGTTCGAATCTGGAAACGCATCGCCAGCTACTGCAGATCATCGTTTATGGTGGGTTGCGTCGTCACGAGTTTGTCGTTGCTTGGGTGTCGTCAGAAAAAAGGGGGTGGTTGTATGAAGTTTATATGGAATTTAGTTTATATCTGGATATATCCGAGGGTTGTAGTTGGAGAGTGAGTTGAACAATGATTTTAGGAAGTTTATATGAATTTTAGTTTATATCTAGATATATACAAGTGTCATAGTTGGAGAGTGAGTGGCTAACAATGATTTTAGGAAGTTTATATCCGGATATATCTAAGGGCTGTAGTTGGAGAGTGAGTGCTAAAAGTAATTTTAGGAAGTTTATATGAATTTTAGTTTATATCTGGATTTATCCAAATGTCGTAGTTGGAGAGTGAGTTGATAACCGTGATTTTAGGAAGTTTATATGGAAAATAGTTTATATCCAGATATATCTGAAGGTTGTAGTTGGAGAGTAAGTTGCTAACAGTGATTTTAGGAAGTTTATATGAAATTTAGTTTATATTCGGATATATATAAGGGTTGTAGTTAGAAAGTGAGTTGCTAACAGTGATTTTAGGAAGTTTATATGAAATTTAGTTTATATCCGGATATATATAATGGTTGTAATTGGAGAGTGAGTTGCTAACAACGATTTTAGGAAGTTTATATGGATTTAGTTTATATCCGAATATATCTGAAGGTTGTAATTGGAGAGTGAGAAGCTCACCGGAAGATGTTAGGTCATTACAGAAGGGGTGATAATGATTTGGATATTTTTGTAATTAATAATATTGGTAAATAAAGAAAATGAATCTTTTTGAAGTAGTAAATTAAGGTTCTGAATGGTTGAAAATTTTGTGGGACCCACGATAATTAAAAGATTATAATAATAATTTATGGAATTAAATCTTTTATATTAAAAAAAAACAAATAACTACAATACATAAGGGTATAATCGGACTTAAAATAAAATATTACATGCAGAAATCTAGAGGTGTAAAATTAGAAAATTTTAGACATTTGTATAAATAAGTTTCTAAAACAGCCATCTGAAGACATTATCTCTTTTTGAAATAATGTCTGGTGGATTGTTTTAGAAACTTATTTATGTATATACTTTTCTAATTTTACACTTTTAAGATTTCTGTAGGATTTTATTTTAATTCCGAGTTTACCTTATTTATTGTATTTATATTTATTATAGTTATTTGTTTTTTTAAATATAAAATATTTAATTCCATAAATTATTATCATAATTTTGATATAAACTAAATTCCATATAAACTTCCTAAAATCACTATTAGCAACTCACTCTCCAACTACAACCCTCGGATATATCCGGATATAAACTAAATTCCATATAAATTTCCTAAAATCACTATTAGCAACTCACCCTCCAACTACAACCCTCGAATATATCTGGATATAAACTAAATTGAAAACATCCGTGGAACGCAAACCTTTTTCAATCTGGAGATGAACTGCCCTAGCGACTGAGAAAAAATGGAGGCGGTCGGAGATGAAGGCAGGCAGACGTTGGCCGGAGACAAAGGCAGGCAGAAACGATCGGAGAAAAAGAACCGACGGAAATCTCCTAAGAAGGGGATAAAAGCAGAGCCGGCCGAAGAGGAAGCGAAATAGCGACAGACGGTCGGAGAAGAGGAACAGAGGGTTGGAGGAAGCCAGATAGCGACGGGCGGTTGCAGAAGAGGAACGGAGGGTCGGAGGAAGAAAAGAAAAAAAAGACGAAACTGGTGGGTTTCGAAAATGGATGTTTTTTAGGGTTTTGAGATTTTTTTTTTTTTTTTGGAAAGTATCATTAGCACATCCTTGGATTTGACCTCTCAATTTATCAATTCTAGCTTTTAATAATTATTTAATATTAAGATAGATCCTAAATATATAATAGTAATTTGTGTGATGGATACCATCTAATTAGAGATTGTGTAAATTCTATAATTTTCCATCCTTTACATAATTATGATTTCTAAATAGACTATTTATGTACTAATCCCTTCTTTTTTTTTCTCGCAATATACATGACCTTGGGGAAAAAAAGAAAAAAAACCTTTGAACTCCAAAACTAATTTGACCCACGTTCACCCATTTTTCAATATTAATAGGAAAAGAAAAAAACACAATCTACTTGTTTATTTAGTGGACTCAAATTTAGCTACGCGATCTCAATTTTGACTTTTTTTTTTCCTTTTGATTTTGATTTGATAAAAAAACCAACCTAACCTAAAACTACTTAACTCTTATTAAATTTGTTATAATTTATTTACCTCAACTAATCCATACCAATCAAAATTAAAATCATATTCATTTCTAAAACGTACTTTTTCTTCTAAAAAAAATATTCAAAATTTACTCATAATCTTCTTTCATTCCCATGTAAAGATTATTTCCTTCCAGATGCATACTCCTCCAAGATATATTGCATGAAAGGAATAATATGGAGCTTAGAGTTGTAGATCGGCCCATTCCTCGAAAGAAATTTTCGTGGCTCTGCAATTCCTCCAAATTGAGTTTTTTTCTTAGTTGAGCATGACACGTTGTATCAATTTTCGCTCAAAATTTTCAATTTCATCAAATTAGACTCTGAACTTAGATAAGTATGATAACTTTTGTACTAAAAACAAAAATGTACGGTAACTTTTGCCCTTTATTCATTTTTCCATCGATTCACCCACCAAATTTAACAAAATAACAATATAAAAATTTAAAACTCACTAATTTMATAAACATAATCAAGCTTAATATAAAATAAACATTAAATAAGTCTACCAAAGCTTACATATTTCAAAAACAAAAAAAAAAAAGAACTCTAATCCTATCAAGTCTACAGCAAATATATTTTATAATTTATTGGACGTGGATGAAAATATAACTGTCAATAATCTTTCTATCTATTAGAAGTAAAAATTGCATCACATTTGAAAGTTTACAACATTTATCTAAGGAAAAAAAAGAATAGAGGCCACCCAATTGAGGGTTAAAATGAATGTTGTTGTTTTTGGTGTTTAGAATCAATGATACACACACCAAATTCTAAACCAAAGCATAAGACAGGATTATAGAAACCCAATCCCAAACCCCTTGTTTTACGCAGACACGTGCGGCTCGTGTGGCAATGCTGGTTTTGGATATTTCCACTGCGGACTACGAACTTACATTACTGACACTATCTAACGCCTGTCTCCTCCCTTTTTCTCCTTTCCTCCTTCTCCTTGGCTGTATTCGATTCCATATATATAAAAAATACCAAGAAAAATACTCTTCGCTTCATCATCTTCCATTTCTCATCCGCTGCCGCTGCCTGCAAAACGTTTTCCCCCTTCTAATCAATCTGATTGTTTCCAGATTTCAACCTACTTTTCTTTCTGCTACACATGCGGCTTTTGGGTTGGAACCTCCTGCCCAAGCCCGACGGATTTGATGTTTGGTTCTTACTCTGCAACTGCTACTTTGCTTTCTGGTTTTGATTTTCCCCAATCTATGGTTGTGTTTTTTCCTGGGTTTTTGCAGTTTGTGAAATTTAAACTGGGGTTTCTTGCAGGAATGAGGCTTTGAACTGGATTAATTGGAATTCAAAGGATTAACAAGGAAGTACCTAATCGATTTGTTTTGAAGGTTTTGTTCTATTCGTCCCCAGTTTAAGCGATCTGGAATTCGATCGTTGATCTTGATCGATCTCTGGTGCTGTGCTTTTCCGCCCGCCATGGACTAATAGCGTCCAGTTTTGGGGCTGAGAAATCCAACTGTCGGTTTTTGATCGAGGGGAGCTCGGTTTAGTTCAGATTTACTTGTAAACTCGTTTTCCTCGATGTTCTTCTGCATATGATCATGGAGAAACTCGGTAGTTTCAAAGAAATTTCGTTGGAGAAGCAGTCGAGCTCTCGCGCGGGGGTTATGGAGAAACAGAAGAGCTTCCGCGGATTCATGGAGAAGCAGAAGAGCTTCCGGATGGTGATGGAGAGGCAACTGAGTTTCATGGGCGGCGAGAGGAAGAAGGCGAAGGAATCGCCGGGGAAACGTGGGGACTCACCGCTTCACTTAGCAGCACGAGCTGGAAACGTAGCGAGAGTCATAGAGATTCTTCAGAATTGCGTTAATGAAAACGAGTCAAATGGTTTATTGTCAAAGCAGAATCTGGAAGGAGAGACTCCTCTTTATGCGGCCGCAGAAAACGGCCATGACTTTGTCGTTGCAGAGATGTTGAAATATTTGGACCTCGAGACTGCATTTATGGCCGCCAAAAATGGATTAGATGCCTTCCACGTTGCAGCAAAGCATGGCCATCTTGGTAAGAAACTTCATGGGATTAAAGCTTTTACAGGCATATATCGCATTCAATCATAATAACAAGTCCTTTAATGTAAAGACTTTAGGGATGCCTATTGCTTGAGAAATTTCTGTTTATATTGCTTGACCTTTTATCAACTGCCTAATAGTTTGTGGCTGTTCGATGCATTAATTAGCACTTCACTCCATTTTTTTAATTGAAAATTTGTATTTATCATTTTCATTGATTATGGAAGCTGTGAACTGCCTTTATTATAGACGTGCACCTGAATGACGGTACTCTCGAAGAGATTTGTGGAGCTTTAACACTTTAGTTTGGATAACATGTCTGTGTGTGATATGCGTTAGACACTTGTTAAGCACAATGGTCACAAATCGAAACTAGTTTAGCAAATTGTATATGAGTTTGACACTTGTTGACCATGCGTCAAACACTTGTCAAGCATAGTAGACATGTGTTCGACTTTCATGAACATTTATCAAACAATCATTGGATGCACAACGAATGAGTTCAAATATTTATTTATTTATTTAATTTTTAAGAAAGTGATGGATATGCAAAAAAATACAGGACAAAAATCATAAATTTAGAGTGAAAAACATTGAACTTGTTTCTTTGAAGCATATAAATACATCAGCATTATTGACTTAAAACTTTCTTGGTTTAGATGTATCTCAAATATCTTGATGTAAGGCAATATCACGAATATCTGAGGAAGTTTTTCACCTTAAACTTTATTGTTGGTTTTTTTTGCCCATGATAGAAAGCCCTTTCTCTATGTCAAAACTATACTTAACTGTTTAGTTTTTGCATATTTTCTGACTATATATTTGACCATTATAGTAATCCCTTTCTCTGTGTCAAAACGATATTTGTATATTTTTGCATTACAGAAACCTGTACCTTTCATTCTCTGATTGCATAGGATTTTGTGTCAAAATTTTACTTGACAACTAGATTTTTGGTTGTAGTCTGCTCCCCCTTTTACTTTCTGGATTTACTTTTGACTTTTCACAAGATCACCTTTTCAAATTTATCAACAAGAAAGACTGAAATAGCAAATTCAGAATCACAAGATGCCATATTCTTCAGGATATTACTCTTTGTAATATTATCAATCTTCTCTTTTCCTAATGATTTTATCTCTTCTTGAAATCGTTCTGATTTAAGAAATGTTGCAGAGGTGTTGCAGGAACTTCTTCAAGTATACCCCAACTTGGCCATGACTACAAACTCAGTCAACTCAACTGCTTTGGACACAGCAGCTACGCAGGGACACATCGATGTGGTAAATCTCCTTCTTGAAACAGACTCAGAACTTGCTAAGATTGCTCGAAACAATGGTAAGACTGCCCTTCATTCAGCTGCAAGAATGGGCCATGTTGAAGTAGTAAAATTGTTAGTAAGCAAGGACCCAAGCCTTGGTTTTCGAATGGACAAGAAGGGCCAGACCCCACTGCACATGGCTGTAAAAGGGCAGAACGAGGGGATTGTGATGGAGTTACTAAGGCCTGATCCGTCAATTTTGATGTTGGAAGATAACAAGGGAAACACAGCATTGCATATTGCTGTATCAAAGAGACGTATGCAGGTAGTTTAACAGCTTATTTTGTTTATGTTCATAGCCTGAAAAAGTATCCAATAGACAAAAATTTGCTTTCATTAGTTTGATGTGGAATATATACTATACTTAGGACCTTGGTTTTATTAGCCGATTTATCTCTCTGTTTAATTCCTGCGACGTTAAAGATGATTTTACATTTAGCCACAGGTAATTATTGCATGTAGTGTCTTGTAAATTTATAACCTTGAAAATCCAATTACTTAAGAGAGATGGGTGTCAAACAATTTTATTACCTTCAAAAGCGCCTGTGATATATGGTCTGTGGTGTAGGTATAGTTT